CCAAGTGATGTGCCCGAGAGACACCTCACCCTGTCTCTGCGCCCCGCTCCATATATTTTTTGTTTGTTTGTTTTTGTTTTTTTTTTTTTTGGGAGGGGGGATGGAGTCTCGCTCTGTCACCCAGACTGGAGTGCAGAGGCGCAATCTCGGCTCACTGCAAGCTCCACCTCCTGGGTTCACGCCATTCTCCTGCCACAGGCTCCCGAGTAGCTGGGACTACTGGCGCCCGCCAGCACACCCGGCTAATTTTTTGTATTTTTAGTAGAGACGGGGTTTCACCGTGTTAGCCAGGGTGGTCTCGATCTTCTGACCTCGTGATCCTCCCGCCTCGGCCTCCCAAAGTGCTGGGATTACAGGCGTGAGCCACTACGCCCGGCCTCCGCTCCATATATTTTTATGACTTTTTTTTTGTTTGTTTTTTTTTAACATGCAGCAAGATGAAGTTTTCCCCTGTGACCAACATTTCAGGATGAGAACATGCTCCTTTTCTTTTGCGCATTTTTTCTTTCATTCTGTGTTCAGTCCTCTGGAAAGACTTCCCTGATTGCATTCTCAGTGTCAGGCCTGGGCTGGGCCCTGGGGACACAGGGGTGACTGCACCTGGTCTGTGATCTTGTGAACTTCAGTCCGGTGGGCAGAGGAGGCTGCACTGTTGCCTATCTGGGAGTGTGCAGGGGAGGCGTGGGGGCAGGGGAGGGGTGGGGGAGCGCCTCTTCCACTGGGCTTGTCTTCCCCAGGATGTGTTCATGTTCCTGACCAACCGGCACACCCTTGGCCACCTGCTCTCCCTGGACAGCTACCGCACCACCCACCTGCACAACGACCTCTGGGAGGTGTTCAGCAACCCCGAGGTGAGGCTGGGGTGGGCACCTGGGGGTTGGGAGCAGAAGGGGCCCAGTGATCCTGCAGTCTGAGGGACTTCCCTCTGAGAGCCTTACAACAGCCAAGACCCCTGTGGGCCACCTGCCACCCTCCCTTCACCCCAGGAGGCTGTCGGGCAGGATTTGGGTAGGGAGAGGAGGGTGTCCAGAGAGCCAACACCATCTGTTGGAGGAGGGACCAGGACTCAGAGGCCTGGGTTTGTGGCCTAGCTCTGCCATCAACTGGGACTTAGTTGAACCTCTCATCTTTGGGGACCTCAGTTATCTTAGCTCCAGAATGGGAATACTGTCCCAGCCTGTCTTGCCCGTGAGGGTGTTGTGATAATCAGAAGGGCAGACAGTTGTGACTTTCTAGACGTTGGGAGCTCGCAGCTGATGGGTGTAAGCACGTGCCTGCACACAGACATGTACACACGGGCACACACATGTACATACATGTGCAAACACCACCTCCTCTGGGCATACCTGTGCACCCAGACAACACACACACACCCAGTGGGCGCAGGTGAACACCTGCCTCCGCCAGGCATGTGCACCTTCACTCCCACTTTGAGGGGTCTGCTTGGAGCATCCCATGCAGTTGAGCCAATGGTGAGGACCCTAGCCTGCTTCCCACTCCCCACAGGACTGGAAGGAAAAGTACATCCACCAGAACTACACCAAGGCCCTGGCGGGGAAGCTGGTGGAGACGGTAAGGGCCATGGACACCCTCTTGGACTGGCCTCGCCTGCTGCAGGGGGCAGGGCACAGAAGGGAAACCGCTTGCCCCAGGGAGTGGGGGACAGCAGGATGGGAGTGGGGAGCGGCGGTATGGGAGTGGGGGGCGGCAGTATGGGAGTGGGGGGTGGCGGTATGGGAGTGGGGGCAGTAGGATGGGAGTGGGGGGCGGTGGGATGGGAGTAGGGGGTGGTGGGATGGGAGTGAGGGGTGGCGGGATGGCCCCTCCACCTGTTGGCACTTCCCTGCTGGAGGCTGTGGGGGTCTGCAGGGGCTCTCTCCCTGGCCTAGGCAGGAAGGAGGAAAACATCCCGGATATGATGGCCACTGTGGCCCATCGTGCCTGGACCAGTGCGGGGAGTGGCCACTTCTCTCTACTCACTAATGTCTGCTTCCCCCGAGCCTGGGGCCTCTGCCCCCTCCCTGCCTCCATACCCGTGTTTCTCTCCTGGCCTTGGCGCTGGTGACTCTGTGACCTCGGCTGGGAAAGTCTGTCTCTGGGCTCTGCCTCCTTCTCCCTTTAGGGACCCACTCAGTCTCTCCAGGACTGACAAGCCCCTGCTGCCTGGGGACACTCGGAGGGCTCCCTGGCTTGGGTGTGGGGCCCTGAAGAGGGAGGAGGATTCTGTGGTGCCACTGTGGACCCCCTTGACTGAGTCCCTGCCCTCCCCAGCCCTGCCCAGATGTCTACTGGTTCCCCATCTTCACGGAGGCAGCCTGTGATGAACTGGTGGAGGAGATGGAACACTTTGGCCAGTGGTCTCTGGGTGACAACAAGGTGGGGACCCTGATGCCTGGGCTGGGGCCGCAGGGAGGCCGCCTCTCCATCAGTGCCACTCACTGTCCAGGGTCTCCATCAGTGCCACTCACTGTCCGAGAGCCACCCTCTCTGGGACTCTTGACATAGGGGTGCTGGCATGGGTATCTGCAGGCAGTTAGGAGTAGACAGACTGAGAAACCCGAGATGGAGTTTGGTTCCCAAGCTGCTATTGCCACTGTGTGGCTTTGAGTTGCCTTGACCGTAAGCTACTAGGTTTTCAGTTCCTGGTTTGCTATTGGAATGGCTTAGCTTGGTTCCCTAGACTTTCCCTAGGAGGAACTGGGGAGGAAAGGGCCAAAGTGGGATGAGGGGCATTAGGAAGGGCTCTCGGGTCCAAGTTCATCAGACAGCAGGAGCAGGTGGCCTGGTGAGAGCGGGAGGCCCTGTGTTCTCTCCGTGAGAATCCCAATACCTGTTCCTGTTCTGGAAAGTTCAGGCACCATTATTTTCTTTTTTTTTTTTTATATATATATATATTTTTTAAATAATAGAGACGGGGTCTGGTTATGTCACCCAGGCTGGTTGTGAACCAGGCACAATTTCATTTTATTTATTTACTTACTTACTTAATTTAGACACCTGTCACTCTGTCGCCCAGGCTGGAGTGCTGTTGCGCAATCTTGGCTCATGCAACTTCCACCTCCTGGGTTCAAGAGATTCTCATGCCTCAGCTTGCTGAGTAGCTCGGATTATAGACGTGTGCCACCATGCCCAGCTAATCTTGGTATTATTTATTTGTTTAGTTGTATGTGTTTGTGTGTGTAAAATTTTTTTTTTTTTTTTTTTTGAGACAGTGCCTTACTGTATCACCTAGGCTGGAAGGCAGTGGCGTGATGTCAGCTCACTGCAACCTTCCTTTCCCAAGTTCAAGCACTTTTCTTGCCTCAGCCTCCCCAGTAGCTGGGACTACAGGCATGTGCCACCATCCCTGGCTAATTTTTGTATTCTTAGTAGAGACTGGGTTTCACCATGTTGGCCAGGCTGGTCTCGAACTCCTGGCCTCAAGTAATCTGCCCGCCTCAGCCTCCCAAAGTTCTGGGATTACAGGCATGAGCCACCATGTCTGCCCTAAGGTACCTTTTTTTTTTTTTTTAATGATCCCAGAACATTTATTTCCATAGGATTTTGATAAAAGAGCACAATCTTGAATAAAAATACACCACTGTACTTAAAGGCAACATTACTTAGTAAACAAACTGCCCTCACCCCTTTCACAGAAGATAAACTTCAGAAAGGAATTTTTCGTCTCCTGACAGTTTTACAACATTCGTGTCTCCCATGTACTTCAAGCCCCAACCCACCTCTCATTTTCTTTTTTCTTTTTTTTGAGATGGAGTCTTGCTCTGTCACCCAGGCTGGAGTGCAGTGGTACCATCTCGGCTCACTGCAACCTCCGCCTCCCAGGTTCAAGCGATTCTTTTGCCTCAGCCTCCCGAGTAGCTGGGATTACAGGCACCTGCCACCATGCCCAGCTAATTTTTGTATTTTTAGTGCAGATGGGTTTCACCATGTTGGTCAGGCTGGTCTCGAACTCCTGACCTCATGTCGTGATCCACCCGCCTCAGCCTCCCAAAGAGGTGGGATTACAGGCGTGAGCCATCGCACCCGGCTCCCCACTTCCCATTTTCTAAATTCTTTTTTTGTGTGTGTGAGGTGGAGCCTCACTCTGTCACCTAGGCTGGAGTGCAGTGGTGTGATCTCAGCTCACTGCAACCACTGCCTCCTGAGTTCTGAGTTCAGGCGATTCTCCTGCTTCAGCTTCCCAAGTAGCTGGGATTACAGGTGCTGGCCACCATGCATAATTTTTTTTTTTTTTTTTTGAGACGGAGTTTTGCTTGTTATCCAGGTGGGGTGCGATGGCACAATCTCAGCTCACTGCAACCTCCGCCTCCTGGGTTCAAGTGATTCTCCTGCCTCAGCCTCCTGACTAACGGGGTTTACAGGTATCCACCGCTACGCCTGGCTAACTTTTGTATTTTTAGTAGAGACAGGGGTTTCACCATGTTGGTGAGGCTTGTCTCAAACTCCTGACCTCAGGTGCTCCACCCACTTCAACCTCCCAAAGTGCTGGGATTACAGGCGTGAGCCACCATGCCTGGCCTCATTTTCTAAGTTGTTTAACAGAAATGTGTGTTCCCAAGTTTAAGGCACCATTTTTAAAGGCATATGAGACCCTGGACCTGTGTGCCAACCTCTGACGTGGCAACTGGACTAACCTGAAGTTCTGGTTACCTTCCTAAACCACATGCTTTGGTTGCTGAGCTGATCTCCAGAAGCCAGGAACTGGACTAGCCCATGCATTCTGGGGACTGGCTGATGCTTGTGCTCCAGTGACAGGGCCAGACATCGGACTCCAGCTGACTCTGGCCCTGGAACAAGTTTTCAGTGCTCTGTAACAAATGACCATGGCTCAGAATAACACCCATGTGTTATCTCCTGGTTTCTGTGGGTCAGGAATCTGGGCCCAGTTTAGCTGGGTCATTGAGGTGTCACCTGGGGTTGGAGTCTCATCTGAGGCCCAGGGTTCCATTCCAAACTCACTTGGTTGTTGCAGAATTCATTCCCCTGCAGCTGTAGAGCTTAACTTGCTTTTTCAAGGCCAGCAAGAGACAGAGTCTCTCTTCAAGATCCTCCTTTAGCCAGGTGCAGTGGTTCATGCCTGTAATCCCAGCACTTTGGGAGACTGAGGCAGGAGGATCGCTTGAGCCCAGGGATTCAAGACCAGCCTGGGCAACATAGAGAGACCTCATCCCTACAAAGAATAAAATTAGTGGCCTGGCACGTGGCTCACACCTGTAATCCCAGCACTTTGGGAGGCTGAAGTGGGCAGATCACCTGAGGTCAGGAGTTCGAGACCAGCCTGGCCAACACGGTGAAACCCTATCTCTACTAAAAATACAAAAATTAGCCAGGCATGGTGGTGCACACGTGTAATCCCAGCTAGTGGGGAGACTGAGGCGGGAGAATTGCCTGAGGTGGAGGTTGCGGTGAGCCAGGATGGTGCCACTGCGCTCCAGTCTGGGCAACAGAGCGAGAGCGTCTCAAAAAAAAAAAAAGGAAATGGAATTTATAGTTCCTGCCCTCAGAATGGAAGTGGAATTTAGAGTTCCTCCCTTAGGGAGTCCAGAGATTGTGGAGGAGGAAACAATCCGACCCAGTACAAGGCAGCTAGCAACTGAGGCCCCAAGACGTGCCACATCCCAGACAGGGCCCTGTCTGCATCCTGAGGCCAAGTCTGCGTATGGCCCCACACACAGTCAGACCCGCGGGGCACTAGGCTACTCAGAGGGCAGTGTGGGCAGGACAGCTCCCTTTGGCCATCCTCACAGGAGACTGATAAACCATTCAGTTTGATATCAGAGTACTGATTCGCCTCTTGAGGTTATTTGTGGCAATAAATTGAAGTTGTTCTACCGTGGTGATACAGCAGCACCATCCCATAGAATTACAATTTGAGCCACAAATGCAAGCTACTTATGTAATTTTTGAAGGGGTGGCCTGCCCCTCCACACCTGTGGGTGTTTCTCGTTAGGTGGAACAAGAGACTTGAGAAAAGAAATGAGACACAGAGACAAAGTATAGAGAAAGAAGAAGTGGGCCCAGGGGACCGGCGCTCAGCATACAGAGGACCCACGCCGGCACCGGTCTCTGAGTTCCCTTAGTATTTATTGATAATTATCTTTACCATCTTAAAGAAAAGGAAGTGGCAGGATAATAGGATCATTATAGGGAGAAAGTCAGCACTAAGACATATGAATAAAGTTCTCTGTGACATGAATAAGTTTAAGGAAAAGTGCCGTGCCTTGATACGCATATGCAAACATCTCCATAAACCTTTTTAGTGCATAAAGAGCAGCATTGCACTAGCAAGTCCCGCCTTTCGCCCTAAGGCGATTTTCTCCTTTCTCAGTAAAGAGAACATACAATCGAATTTTATACCGAGATGTTCCATTGCCCAGGGACGGGCAGGAGACAGATGCTTTTCTCTCTGCCAACAACCGCCAAGAGGCCTTCTTTCCTCTTGTACTAGTCCTCCTCAGCACAGACCCTTCACGGGTGTCAGGCTGGGGGACGATCAGGTCTTTCCCATGCCACGAGGCCATATTTCAGACTATCACATGGGGAGAAACCTTGGACAATACCTAGCTTTCCTAGGCAGAGGTCCCTGCGACCTTTGGCAGTGTGCGTATCCCTGGGTACTTGAGATTAAGAGAATGGTGATGACTTTTAACCAGCAAGCTGCCTTCAGGCATTTGTTTAACAAAGCACACCCAGCACAGCCCAAAATCCTTTAAACCTTGAGTCACCATAGCACATGTCTCTTGCAAGGACAAGGCTGGGGGTAGGGTCACAATCAGATTAACAGCATCTCAAATACAGAACAAAATGGAATCTCTTATGTCTACTTCTTTCTATATAGACACAGTAACAGTCTGATCTCTCTTTTCCCCACAATTTTACATTTTCTAGTAGCCACATTTTTAAAAGTAAAAAGAAACAGGTGCAATTAATCTTAGTAATGTATTTAACCCAAATGATCCAAAATATTATCACTTCAACATGTAATCAGCATATAAATATTAATGAGCTAATAGCCCTGCACTGTGGCAGGTACCTGTAACCCAGCATTTTGGGAAGCTGAGGCAGGAGATTGCTTGACTCCAGGAGTCCAGGAGTCCAGGAGACCAGCCTGGGTAACAAAGTGAAATGCTTACCCATGTCTACCAAAAATAAATATTAGGCATGGCTGCAGCATCTGTGCTCCCAGCTACTCAGGAGGCTGAGTGAGGTGGGAGGATTACTTGAGCCCAGGAGTTCCAGGTTGCAGTGAGCCGTGATTGCACCACTGCACTACAGCCTGAGTGACAGAGTGAGACTCTGGCTCAAAAATATACATTTTTTCTTTTTTTGAGACGGAGTCTCTGTTGCCCAGGCTGGAGTGCAGTGGCACGATCTCGGCTCACTGCAACCTCTGCCCCCGTGTTCAAGCCATTCTCCTGCTTCTTCCTCCCAAGTGCACCATCACACCTGGCTAATTTTTGTATTTTTAGTACAGACGGGGTTTCACCGTGTTGGCCAGGCTGGTCTTGAACTCCCGACCTCAAGCGATCCACCCGCCTCACCCTCCCAAAATTCTGGAATTACAGGCATGAGCCACCGCGTGCAGTCGATTTTTTTTTTTCCCTAAAAAGTGAGATAGTTTAACAGTCTTTTTTGTCCTAAGTCTTATAGCACATCTCCGTTTGCACTGGCTCAGGACTTGAGAGCCACATGTGGCTAGTGGCTACTGTTCTGGCGCGCTCAGGCTTGGAGCCTTCCCTGCGGAGGCCAAGTCCTGCAGGGGACCTGTTTGCTGCGGTTTCCTAGTGTCTGGCACATCACTGGGGCCCAGTGATCTGGGTAACCATGTGAGCTTGGGTACCCTCCCCTCTCCGTCTCTTGGGACTGCTGTGGAGATTAAACACAGCGGCGGATGTTAGAGACGCAGTTCAGTCACTAGCATTGATTCGCCCTTGTTGCTGCTGTTCTTTGCTCAAAGGCGACTGAAGGGCAGGCAGCACGTCCAGGCTCGCTTCTGTCTGCCCGATGAGTCACTTCACCCTAGGCCTGGCCCTCCAGAGAGCACTCCTCTGATTACAGAATGCAAATCTGGATTCCAGAGTTGGCAGAGGCCCCAGGGTCAGGCTCTAGGACAACCGGCGAAAGAGCGGGAACCTCTACTCCATGCCCTTGGTTTTTCAAAGCCCCTTGACAGCTTGAGGCTCCGCCCCGCTCTGCCCCGCCCCCCAGCTCCCGCCGACGCCCACCGGAACTACAGCCCCCACGATGCAGCGGGAGTCCGAGCCTCTGCGTCATCGGCTTGGGACGCGCCGGCGGAGGCGTCGCGCGCTGAGGCGCCGCTCGAAGTGTCCAGTCGCGGGGCCGCAAAGGCGTAAGGAGTAGGCGGGGCGAGCCAGCTGGGCTCAGGGTCCACCAGCTCACCCGGGTCGAGGGGCAATCCTGAGGCGACTGGTGACGCGCGCGTCCCTTTCCCTCCTCCCAGCTCCCCCCGCGGTGGCGCTTGCTGGTGACGTAGTGAGTGTGATGGCCACCGCGAGGCCGGGAAGGTGAAGGTGAGAGGGCCAGCAAGCCGGGGTGGCGGGGACTGGCCCGGCCCGGCCGGGCAAGTCCTGAGCAGCTCGGTGTAGGCCGACGGGATTCTAGGGCCACGGGGGTCTGAGATGCAGTCAAGCGGGGGTCCCCACTCTCAGGCCTCGCCGCAGGCCCTGAGAGGAGGGGGCTGGCCACGGGACCTGGGACTGGGAGGTGGGCTGTCCTGTAGCTTCTCATTGTCTCCGCCTTTCCACCCTTCACGGCAACGTTCTACCCCTGCCGCTTTTCTGTTTTTCATCCAGTCTTCATTTTGCCAGCATTTACTCAGCACCTGATAGGTGTCCACGTTCACCGCGGGAGCGCCCTGCCCTCCCCACTTTGGACACTTACTACCCTCTCGTTCAACCCTGTTTACTTGTATGACTTCTCACCGGACTCTAAGGCCCTGGAGGGCAGGACTATTTCTTATCCATTCCTAACGTGGCGCCTGACACACATACAGAAGGCACACAGAAAATGTTGAATAAATAGCTGTTTAGACGCACGAAGGCAGAACTGCCCGTTACCCCCTCTCGTACTCCTTCATTGCCCTCTTTCTTTAAATTCTCAATCATCTCTCTCTCTTCTACCCAGAAAAAGGCTCTGGTTATCCGCCTCTGGTGTCCCAAGGTTTAGGGCTTGGGGGAGGAAGGCAGCTCAATGTAGTTAAACAAGGAAGGAGGCCGGTCGCAGTGGGTCACACCTGTAATCCCAGCACTTTGGAAGGCGGAGGCGGGTGGATCACCTGAGGTCAGGAGTTCGAGACCAGCCTGGTCAACATGGTGAAACCCCGTCTGTACCAAAAACAAAAATTAGCCAGGCTTGCTGGCACACGCCTGTAATCCCAGCTACTCAGGAGGCTGAGGCAGGAGAATCGCTTGAACCCGGGAAGCGGAGGTTGAGCTGAGATCGCACCACTGCACTCCAGGAGCTTTGGAGTCAAAGGGAGCTAATATTTCAAATCCCAGCTTAGACAATCGACTAACAGTCTATAAATCTTCAAGTATTCCAGCCTTCTGTTTGCCCCATAGAATTGAGAATTAAGTGAGATACTTTACAGTAGCTGAACACATTGGCTTTCAGTCAGTTCTTCTGTTGCTCAGTAGTCAGCTGTTCCACAATCCTCAAGCCCAGTTTTTTTCCTGGTTTTGCTCTGTCCTCTCCCCTCTCTAGATGTACCTTTTCTAGGGCTCCTGCAGGGAGCCTCAAACCCGCACATGGCAGACCACATGTTTGTGCATAGCCAGGATTGGTCCCACACCTCTGTGTTTTTTTCCCCAGGGCACTTCCTCACATGCCAGTGCAACTCCACAATACCTCAATGAGTAAGCTTCCCTCAGGGATGAGTTTGTTTGGCTTGAAACCTGATTAGACATGTTTTGTACACCAGTGTTTTTTTTGGCGGGGAGGACACCTGATCTATCTCCCTTTTCTTTTCTAATAAGTCAGGACTGGTGGAGTCAACACAGTGAATCAATAACCAACCTCAACCTGAGACAAGACAGAAGAGGACTCAGAATCTTTTTGTCTTTTGGACTCCAGCCATGTCCATGATGCCTACCTTGTGAAGATCTCTCACCATCCAAAAAAGTGAGTAGTAGCTGTGACTTCTGGCACCCTGAATTTGAGTTGAGTGGACAGGGGCATGCTCTCCTGGACCTCTGGTGGCAAGTCTCTTGGATGGCATCCTCTTTGTATAGAGCCACAGCTTTCTAACTTCTGTTGAAAAACTGCTGTATCTCTTTTCTACTTCCGTGAAGGATTTTGCTGGTTGCTTAGAGAGCCTGTTTAAAAGTTGACAGTTCAGGAAGTGGCTGGGATCTCTTGGGCTCCCCGAAGAATTAGTCTGTGTCTCCCTCATTTGGTCTTCTCTGCAGTGCTGGTTCTTCCCCGTCTCTGCCCAGCACAGATTGGCTCCTTGTCACTGCTCTTCTAAGATTCTGCTCTGTCCCCTTTACCCTGTATCCTCTTTTGTTTCGATTTCTCAGCTTCTCCTCTTTTCCAGTTGTGCCAGCAGACAATCGGTGGATCCATTTTATTTTCCCTGCTAGGAGTTGCTGTACATAACACTGGGTAAGGAGGTGGTGTGGATTCAGGGACTGTGCTTGGGATCCAAACACACCTTGCAGTGAATTTTGCTACTGTTGTCTCTACTCCCAAGATACCTAATACTCCGTGACTGATAGCCTAGGTTGAGGCAAAACTTTGGACCACCTTGGAGGGCTAATAGCAGTTTCCATTTAGAACTAGGTTCATTTCTGGTCTTAGGTTAATATTTGTCAATACTGTGCCCCTGGCACACTTTTTGGGGGTAGGGGTGAGAGAGTACCAGAAAGAATGGGCCTTTCCCTAAAGCGTTATCCTCGGGTTTTTTATTTTATTTTATTTTTTATTTTTATTTTTTATTTATTTTATTTTATTTTTGAGATGGAGTCTCGCTCTGTCGCCCAGGCTGCAGTGCAGTGGCACAATCTCGGCTCACTGCAAGCTCCACCTCCCGGGTTCACGCCATTCTCCTGCCTCAGCCTCCCGAGTAGCTGGGACTATAGGCGCCCACCACCACGCCCGGCAATTATTGTATTTTTAGTAGAGACGGGGTTTCACCATGTTGGCCAGGCTGGTCTTGAACTCCTGACCTCAGGTGATCCGCATGCCTCGGCCTCCCAAAGTTCTGAGAAACAGGGGTGAGCCACCGTGCCCAGCCTGAGACACTTCTTATCTCACCATCCTTTGTTCTAGTCCTGGAGGTTGCAGTGACCTGAGATCCCCATATTCTTGGTTCTCCCCCAAGCATTCCACCATCCTTCCAGCAGGATGTCCCGAGGTAGGTATCGCTGTGTTCGCTCACATTGGCTTCTCTTGCAGCGCAATGTCCCTGCTCTTCTCTCGATGCAACACTATCGTCACAGTCAAGAAAGATAAGAGACACATGGCTGAAGTGAATGCTTCCCCACTCAAGCACTTTGTCACTGCCAAGAAGAAGATCAATGGCATTTTTGAGCAGCTGGGGGCCTACATCCAGGAGAGCGCCACCTTCCTTGAAGGTAAGGGGGCACCTGCTCAGCCAGGTCCACTCTTACCTGTTTAGATGTTTAGCTAGTGGGATTTGTGGGTGGGGAAGTATAGCTCTGCTCTTCGGGAACTCATGCCCAGATAGCCTCAGAAATGCTCTGCTCTTGAAATCATGTGGAATTGGAGTCTGGGGAGATGAGGCCAGGAAGACAAGGGAACTGCCATTTAGTAATTACTTTAGAAGTCCACAGGTTTCGTTTCATTTAATCATGAAAGATAGGTGAATCTTATCCCCATCTACAAGGCAAACAAATTGAGGTTTGCGAGTTGTCGGATGCCTTGTAAGTAATAGATCAGGGCTTTGCCCAGGTGTCTCCAACTCCAGAGCCCACGTGTTTTCCTTTGCCTAGTTCTGGCTGCCATTAATACCAGGCACTGTTTGGGTGTCAGTGATGCCTGACCGGGGCGCCCTCTCTTTTATATTTTTAGATTGGTGACAGAACTATAGGAAACTCATGTCACCTGTGCCTTTTCTACTAGTTACTAATTTGAGCCCAACCTCTAGTTCCTTGTTTATCAGCAGAGAAGGACTGGTTCCCGGGGCCCCGCTCGTCTGAGTGACAACTCCAGCGCTTGCTTCCTCAGGCTCCCTCTTTAGAAGGGCACTTTGGCGCCAGGTCCTGAGATTGTCTGTGGAGACCCAGTAGCTGAGTCTTATCTGCCCTTGGTTTCCTCACTTGTGAAAGGGGGCTCAGGTGTGAACAGTGGTTTCAGATTCTAGTCTGCAGAACCCTAGAAGTTCGGTGGTGGTGCTTCTGGGATTGGCCCCTGGCTCAGGGGGGCCACCTTCTTTCCATTCTGCTTTCAACGAGAGCAGCTTGGCTTCTCGTTGTTTTACACGCCAGGCTGCTACACGAGGCTCCCTTTGAAGAAAGAGACTGTCCAATTTCATGCCCTCATCTGTGCCCTGCCCTTTGCATGGCACTTGATGTAACAGAAGGTGTTTCCTAAATACTTGTTGAACTAAAATCTGAATTTTAAAGTAGTATGATTGGTAGTTGAAATAATCCCAACTCAGTGGCTGTGGTGTGCCAGCCCTGTGGCAGGTGCTGGGCATGCAGAGATGGGGTAGATCAGGCCACTGCCCTCTGGGAGCCCAGAGTAACCCTCTTGGAAGCTCTGAGTCACCTACTCAGATGACGTTGTGGACAGACACATGCTTAATGCAGATGTTTATGTGATGCATGCTTTGATTTCTCTCTGTGTGAAAACATGAGGCCTCCCTGTTGTTTAAATGGAAGGGAAAGAGCTGGAGTGATCCTGAGCTGTGTTGGGTCAGGGAGGGGTTGGTTCCTGCCTGGGGACTGTTTCTAACGGGCAGGTAACAAGAGCTTGTCGGCCTGCTGGCTCCCACTTTTAAGTGTAGTCACATGCTTGAGAACCAGCTTCCTCTGAGGGACATTCCAAAGGCCATGCCTAGTTGCCCATATAAGGGAGGAATATTGATGCCTCTGGGGCAGAGGTGACCGGTGGACATTG